TGACAAACTCTACGAGTTTGATGGCGCGCTGGCGCCTGCGTGCTCGCTTCTCGGCGGCGCTGTCCGCGACTTCAACGTCATGTTCCGCGAAGCCGACGGCGGCAGCATGGTCGTAACTAACGCCAAAGCGACGCACAGCCTCTACGCGATAAGTGCTCGGTTCCTCGGGCTCTTCTCGGTAATACAATCGACGTGCTTTTGTATCGTGGCTGATGCAGACCCCTTATTGTTAGGTCGACGGCGGCGAGCTCACAATCAACGGCCTCGAGTGCATCCGCATTGCGCCCATGACGCTCGTGTGGGCGCAAGACACGTCGGCGGAGCTGGTTTTTCCAGCCGCGGGCCCGGCGCTGCGTTCTGGTTGCACCTCGAATAAGCAAACCATAATGAACGATTTGGGGTTGAAAGCCAGTGAGATCTCGATGGATGCGGAGGTTGTTTGACCAAGTGTTCTGGTGTTTTGGTGATTGCATGGAGTCTCGAGGCATCCTGAGCTGGCCTCGATGGGGCAAGAGGCAAGGGAAGATAGGTAGCAGTCGGCTGCCAGCCAAGACGGAATATCAAAGCCGTTACAATTCAAAAACACGTGTCTCTGTTCCTTCGTAGCGCCTTCATACGGCATCAAGCCAAATGAGGGCTAACAGAACTTTTAATAGAAGCTGCAGTTAATGGAATCGGGCATGGTGTAGTGTACTAGTATGACATAAAATTGGTAAAGAACAGTTACAGGATAGCACGGATCTAGTTTTGACGGAGATTGCGCTGCCATTCGTCGGGGTTGTACGGTGCAGGGCCGGGACTAGGGGCTGGGCCAGGCTGCGGACCCGGTTGAGGGCCAGGCTGAGGACCCGGCTGCGGACCCGGCTGCGGACCCGGTTGAGGGCCAGGCTGAGGACCCGGCTGCGGACCCGGTTGAGGGCCAGGCTGCGGACCCGGTTGAGGGCCAGGCTGCGGCCCAGGACCAGGTTGAGGGTTGTACGGGCCAGGGCCAGGCTGCGGGCCGGGGTTCGGACCTGGAGCGGGACCGGGGTTCGGACCTGGAGCGGGACCGGGGTTGGGGCCTGGAGCGGGGCCGGGGTTGGGTCCAGGCTGCGGGCATGGCGTTCTCTTGCCCCAACCACCGCCTCCGTTGTTCCAGCCGCCGCCGTTGTTCCAGCCGCCGCCGTTGTTCCAGCCGCCGCCTGAGTTCCAGCCGCCGCCGTTGATTTGCCAGCCACCGCCCGAGTTCCAGCCACCGCCGCCGCCTGAGTTCCAGCCGCCACCGCCGCGGCCGCCCTTGTCGCAGTCGTCGGGTCTCTTGAAGGTCATGGCATCCGCCGGTGCCTCTTGGGCCGCGAGCGCGACAGCCGCAATCGCAAAGATACTGGAAAGGTAGATGGCCACCATCGAGGAAATTGGAAAGTGAGTCGTCTTGTCCTTGACAACCCTCGGGCCCGAGGAAGCCTTTTTCGATCTTGCTGGATCTATCGTTCGGACACGGGATTTAGGGTTAGGGCTACGCGGACCGACTCAAATACGTACAAAAAAATACACCTGGGTTCTCCACTAAACATATGTCGAAGCGTCCATCCAGAGTCTACCACCATACTCTTCCGCGTCTCCGACCGTGCCGACACGAGAGGCGGCGCAGACTTACGATGCCTCACCATTTGCGCTCTCTCGGCGCTTGCATACAGAAGTATCTTGTGTTTAGGTTTACACCAGAGAGAACAATCAACGCTAGTCCAATCGATCCCGTGAATCGCGTCCAACGACTTAAGCGTCTTCCTCGGCCTGAAGCTCCTTGGCCATGCGTTTCCTACAAACATCCACATTGTACACGTCCGATGAGTTCAAATACCACGTACCGCATGGTTTTTTCCATCTTTTCTTCGACCGACGGACCCGTCTTGCGCTGCAGCAGCGGAATGTGCTTGAGCCCTTTGCCCGCCGGCGGCAGCGACGGCCAGACGCTGCCAAATGGAAGGAGGTCGTCTGACGACGCAGCCGGCACCTTGGCCTCCACTTGTTCCGGGCTCAGGTTTGAGACGCTTCTGGACCTCCTGGAGCGCGTGCGGCCGCGATACGCTAAGCGATTTGATCGTCTCGAGCTCGTTCTTGAGCATCGCCGTGCGAAGGCTCGCAGCCTCCCACTGCTCTTCAATATCGCAGTAGACACGGTTGAGCACGCCGGGCGTAAAGCTAGGGCGTACGATGAGGACCACATTTACAGTGGTCAAAATTGTCGTACGTCATGTGCATTTGGTCGTATTTGCAGTCGTGCAAGACCAGCGGGAGCTCCGAGGCCATTTCATACTACAGACAAACGATTCTGTGCACAGATATATATCGCGCGCACTCTCTACCTGGGGCTTGCGGGGCGTGGCGTCAATATCGAGGAGCGTCGTGACAATCGACGGCGCTTCGAGCCCGCGGCCGACGAGAAACAAGACTGCTGCCATGCACCGGACTTGATGCCACAAGAAGGCCTTGCCGTGGATCTATCCAATCGAATATCCAAACTCCAGACAATGCTCCCATATATATATGGATCGTATGGATCGTTTGGCTACCTCGAGGTAGCAGAGCTGGTAGTAGTCATCGCCACTCGCGTCCACGGGCTCGGCTTCGTGGATTTTAAAGGATGAAATCGACCGTTTGAATGCAAGGACATTGGGGTCCATGCGGCAAAAGTTGCGGTGGTCCATGTCGACGCCTTGGAGAAGCGACGCCGCTTCCCGCATGCGCTACAGTCGCGCGATGACGCCTCCTGCATGTCAACAACAAGAAACCTCTACCGTCAAGTCCATCCGGCGCCGATGGAAAAAGTACTTGTACACGCGGCCGATGCAGTCGAAGCGCGCACTCCACTCGGCCCGCGGCGCCGGTGCCCAGCCGTAGATGCGAATGTCCTAAGCAGAGATGCGGTCCTCGCAACGTTGGTGCGCGAGGTTACCGCCGGCAGTGCCGAGTTCAGCGAGACGGGGTAGTCGAGCTCCGTCAGCGTCTTGATGGTACCGTCCGGGAGCTGGATGCGGAACGGCTCGTTCGGAAGGATATCGTCGATCGTCTTGTCGTCGAGAAGGACGGCGTCCGTCGGGACATTCGACCGCACGATGAGACCGACGACTTGACCGAGGGCGCTACGACGCACGGCGATGATACGACGACGGTGGCGTGGAGCAAGACTACCTGACGCCCGCGTCGGTGCGACCGCAGCGCGAGTAGCCGCACTTGTTGAAGTCTTCAATGAGCCGCGCACGGTACAGCGCGTCGATGAGGTACCGCTCGATCGTGTGCTACGTTGATGATGCTGAGGATACGAGGCGAGCGGCAGACAAGAGGAAGGACTACCTCCATGTGGTCTTGGCGCGCAAAGCCAGCGTACTTTTCGCCCGCATACGAGAACTTGAGCGCGATATGGCGGGTGCGGAAACGGCTGTAGTCGAAGGGCTTGGGCGGCTTCTGGTTGTACGCGAGCTTCTTCTGCTTCTTGGTCAACGGCTCGCCACTGCGCACGGCCCGCGCCACCGTGTCAACGGCGTGCGCGAGCTTCTCGGGCGACTCGCGCAGCTTGCGCACCACCTGTAGCAGCTCGTCCTTGGTGAACTCTTCGTAAACCACCGGCGTCATGCTCGCCTCGTAGTGTCCAATTGTACCGATATGACCTTGACGCGCGACAACCATTGGTCATCCGGATAACGACCGCATGGGACTAAACGCACCCCTCTTTAGCCGCTGGCAGAGACAAGCGAGAGGTACAAAATCGGTCCCAGTCAGTGCGCCCTGGCGCCCCGAGTCACACAGTCCAGGTTTGGTGGTGGCAGCGGTTCGAGAATCGCAGTTGGGACGATGATCGTCGCGTCGGTATTAAGGACGACACATCCACAAAGGTATCATCGGTGAGCTATTCGGGAGCTGGAGCTGCAAGCACGATCGGTCGCTTATTCCCTAATGGTCTAGGCGGTTAGAATATGGCTTACACGATCGGTCGCTCATGGATTTGATCTTAATGTCCCCGTCTGCTGGCAACGAATGAAAGGAACGTCCACGGAAACGAGTGTACCAGCGCTGAGAGATCTTGAGTACTGGTCTCTCGGGGGGATAGCCGCTGTCTTCTACACCAAACGCGTCTTCTCCACGTCAGAACGTGCTGAAGCCGGTGCAGATGACAAAGCAAGGACCTATGAAGAACCCATAAATTTTCCCGCTTTATGAATCCATCAAAGCAATCACAATTGTATTCTAGAGCGACGGGGCCTCACACGTGTGCGCCGAGATGAGCCCATACGTCAAGACGACACCCCACCTCGTCCATGCATGCAACGACGCCGACCACAACGTGCAAGCCAACGAAGGACGGTCTCTATTCGCCTTCCAATTAGTTGACAAAAAATCGCAACAATGCCTGCGCTTCGTTTGAGTCGACTTCGTGGACGCCGTCGCCGCTGAACCAAGTGCTATGCCCACCACTCAGACGCATCGTTGCTGGCGTTGATGTCGAAAAAAGCTGATTGGTGTTGCGGCGGCTTGCGATGCAGGCTTGTGGGCATCGCCGAGCGTGCGGTTATCGGTCCCGGACCGAATGAGCTCCTTGTTGAAGGGCAGTCCATGGAGCGCCTCGAGCTGGCGTTGCTGAGCTTCTGGCGAAATATCGTGTCGACCTACCTGCACAGTGAGTAGACAGCTCATGGACAGCGTCGCGCGAAGGCATTGACTAGTGCCACACCGAGTTTGCTGACGAGGAGTCAGGGAAGGTCGGTCCCCCTCCCCTTTTCTGCCACCTTTAATTCCCTCCATTCCTAGGCGCACTCGCAGTCCGTACAAAAATGTGGTCGACGTCTGGCGCACTCAACACCCAGCGTCACGGATCTTCAGTGGCCCGCACCGCGTCAACCGTCTGGACTACATCTTTGTCGATGTCGAGCTCGCGACCGTGCTCTGCGCCACGGCTGGGTACGCGGCCAACGGCCACGGCAGCGACCACTTGCGCCACAAGGTTACCTTGTCTCGTGCCGCGCCGTCGCCAGCACGCGGGTACTGGAGGCTGCCGCGCGAGCTTTTGAAGCACCCGGGTATTGCCGACATGATCACCGACGAGGCTACCGCGCTGCTAGCCCAGATGACCGATGCGCCGGACGGCAACCATGGCGCCATGTGGTACGGCTGGCTCAAGCGCATGAAGAAAACCCTCATCGCCGAGCACGGTCTGCACGTTGAGGCGACCAAGACGCATCTCTACGCGCTCCAGTTGTCGCTAGCCGCGGCCAAGCGCGAGCACGCGTGGTCGGGCACGGGCGCGGAGAAGGTCGACACTGCCCAGCGCGCGTATGACGATGCGCTCGCCGAGCAGACGCAGTACCAGATGGACCAGCAGTTCGACTTTCACGCCAATGTCAACGAGAGTGGCTC